GACAAGAAAAAATACTCTTGATTCAATCAGATTTAAGCTTAAATCAAGAACCAAGCTTCTTAATTTGAGCGGATTTCCTTTTGATTTAAGCTTAAATCTGATTGAATCAAGAGTCATTTTTTTTTGTCAATATTTTCAAGAGTCTGGACTCTAGATTCAATGTGTTTTTTTCTTCCAGTGTATTGATTGAATCCAGTTCGATTTAACGACGAATCCCTATGTTGACGTCCCCATTAATAGCGTCTATCAAAGTATTCCTTCCTCCTTGAGCACGAGCCGTATTCACGTCTCCAAATAAAACGTCGTTATTTTCCCGGCGTTAACCGATCGGGATCGAAGTGCGCCCGTGTGCGCGATGCTGCTCCGAGCACACAATGCACGTTCGAAGCTAATCGCGGGTGTGGGTGTCGACATGCCGTGGCGGCGGCGGCGGCGCTGACTTGGCGTTCCACCGGCGGGAGCAGACTCCGCTCCGGGCCGGGTAATTCCCGAGCACTTCATTCCGGGCCCGGGCAAACAAACCCCCGAAAATTGCAGGCAATACGCGATCCCCGACGCTTAAATTAACAAACTAATAAATTCAGCCAGATTCTCCCGGGTCGCGACCTCGGCGGGCGTCGCCGGCTGCTTTTGTCAGCTTTTCGCGCGCGGGCTTAAACGGCGTCGCCTCGACAGCCGGCTTATCTCCGGCGCGGGGCTCCCGGCGTCGATCCGACCCGGGCTCGACCTACCCTATTTATCGGTCTGCGGGTCCCTCCCGTACAATGCGTGCGGATAAATGAATGGACTCTTCGAAGCTGAACTGCTCAAAAATCTCGGTGAGCAATTCGAAAAAGGATCGCGCCATTTTTATTGCCTTGTCACAAGAAACAAAACTGACCACCTGCGAGGAGCATATGCTGATTCTGGGTTGCTACAGTCAGGGGCGTACCGGGAAATGTCAGGGAATTTCAAAAAGTCAGGGAAAATGACAAAAGTGTCAAGGATAAGTTGATAAGTACTTTAATTTGTTTTCCAGAATGGGTTTGACGTTTCGAACAACAAATTTTTCCCCATTGAAATTATTTCTATTCATGTTTTTTTGACCATTTGGCATATCTTATTTTGTCAGAGAATTTCACCGCAGTGTGTCAAGGAAATCAGGGAGTTGTCGGGGAATTTCATTTTCTAGATTTAGTGGAAACTCTGAGATCGTGTTCGTGATATTAGGCTAACATGCAACTATATGTACTCTCCGGGATGTAAATTGCATACGCTGAAAACTGAAGGCTTCTTTCGATCTGTGAGAGAATATTGGTAATGGAAGGTGCCATTATACTTAAGACTATTCCGCTTGTGGCTATCAGCGGAATTACGCTCCTTACAACTGTTTTGCCTGAAACGGTGTCAATTTTTGCGCATTTACGGCTTTACAAGTCTGCTGAAATGTCCTGTTTCAACCATTCCAGTAATTTCATCTGGAAGAGATTAAACAAATTTTGAGAGAAACTCGATTTCGATATTTTGAGAGTTTTTATCCTCTCATGGCAGGATTCACCTCCTCGTTCCCCGCAGTGCTGCCATTTTATTTCATCAAAAGATTCTGAAATAATTCCGATTTCCGGAAACATACTCCGATTTGTCAAAGTTCCGAGAAAAATTCCGAAAACGCTCGGATTTAGTTCCGAAGATCGACAAATTTGATCAAAAAGTCCCTACATTTGACTAAATAAATGGTTGAACTGGCGAAAAACTGCAAATTGCGAGGAAATTCTGTAAACGGCTTAAAATTCCGGGGTTTCAGAAGATTCTGGGAAAAATTCCGAATTGCGGAAGTACTTCCGGGAAATGGCAGCACTGGTTCCCCGTGTAACTTTAGAAGGGCAAACCTTGATAGAAGCAAACGACGGTGGCAAGGAGGAGAGCGTTGAGGAAGAGGAGGCAGGAGAAGATGGCGACGAGGATGTAGCTGGTGCGTCCGACGGTCTCGTCGATCAGCTGTTTGAGGTCGGCCACGAGAGAGGAGCCATCGTCGAGCATGGCGTAGTTGACGAAGCTCAGCAGCGGCTGCAGCAGGAAGTTCAGCAAGTCCTCCATTCTGCCCCCGGGCCACTTACCCCCGACCCCCGAGCCGGTCCCGTTACTCCCGTCCACCACTCACGGGAATTTAAAAAATGCGTCATCATTTTCACTCAATTTTACCACGGACATTTTTAACAAATTTACTCAGTTCATTCGGCTTTGGCGTGGGCCTGTCGTAACTATAGTCACTCGGCAAATTTTGTATCTCCTGCTGTTGTCAAATTATCGTTTTTTCATCCTAAATGTCTGTTATGGGAGCACCTGAGAGAACGGACGTATCAGTAATTTTGAAGGAGTGAAAATGGTGTTGGTCTCCTAGATTCTACTATACTCTTTTTTCTTTTAAGAAACCACTACAAATATTCCTAACCCTACCCCCTAATAAATCCTGCTCCTAAAAAATTATAGTAAATGTCCCTAGATGGCTGTAGGCTCCTCTACTGGAGTAAAAGCCCAAAATTAACCAAGAAAAAGAGAGGAATTTTGAGGTTAGGTCAGAGCGCTTTTAGGGCCCAAAAAGTCAGTCAGTCTGTGAAATCAAATTATCCAGAATTATTCATCATTACAATTTTTACAACCTGTCGTCTGTAAATCACATACTTGACATAGATGTTGTATAAATTTACCAATTTTTGCGGAGAATCGCTTATGTAGATACATTCTAAGCCATCTAGGTTTGGTGTTTGAATTTAAAGATTGGCAGCGGCAGTTTACTAGTGTTTTTCGTGTTCTAAGGTTTGCTGCCCTTTTAAATCCTAAGAAATCCGTATTTTGACATATCTGTGCCCATAAAGATTAAGAAGTTAAAATAAAATTAAGATAAGAGTACAATTTTCGTTGCGCGAAAATAGCGAAGCCCTCATTTTTGTGCAGGATACGAAACCTCCAGATAAAATGAAATTAACGAAAATTCGGCGCTGATTTGCTAATTGTTGTAACTCTACCCGATCGTAGGTATCCATTTGTCGAACCCCTTCCTCCTCCTCTCCACAAGAAAAGAGATCGTATGTGTACGCGTCTGAACAATATTTTCAAAATAAAAGTACTTAATATGCACGTGCCACCCGTAATTATTCAAATTCCCGTCATGAATCTGTTTTTTCTGCGACGGGCTCTCGAGTGGCGAGTTGAAATTATGTAAAGCCTCGAACGCGGTTCACTTTGAGCGGAGGATGGAGTTTAATCAAAACTTGCGGGGGATCGGCCGCGGCACGGTGATTCTTCTTTTAATTGACGTTCGCAGCCGGCAGATGGCGCTGCCGACGCCCGCACACGACGACTCGCATCCGGACGCACCGCAGCGCGTCTGTCAAAATTACCCAAGTTTGCCGGGATCCCGTGATCTCTGCTCCGGGACACGAGTTGACGCTTCAACTTTGATAATTAACACAAACTGCGATGAAATTGGAGTTGCAGGCGCCTTCCTGACCCAGAGAGACAGCAGTTGAATCGCCATCAACGGCACATTGTAACTGCCGCTCGCGATGTACGTGTATTTCAGGTTAGGTGTTTCGGGAACCCTACTTGGATGGATCTGCCGGGAACAGGTTTCTACCGATAAACGTGGGGCAATCGGATTGCATTTTGCAAGAGGAGGCTATGGGCACTGCAGTGGTATTAAGGGTGCACAGTTTCTTTTATTTCGCACGAAAATCCTGACAATTTGTTCGCAGGTTTCCACTCACACTGAGAAGATAAAATGAACCGCGTTTAAAAGGAACCAAGCCATATCAGCTATTGCCTAATTAAAACGAGAAATTTAATTTTTTACAAGGAGCGTTTGTGCGGATTTTTTTAAAAAAAGTTCAAGGAATTTGCTTCGTAATGTGCAAAAAAGTCACGGCAGTAAAGAGCGGAGCATCGCGAGTTCATGCCTCGCGCCATGGCGCCTTCAATTTTGCAGATGCAACATGGACATCCATCAAGCACGAATAGTTGTATCTCTGCGCCGGCATCAAGTCGCGTCCTTTATCACGCTTTATTTCCATTTTGTGTTTGTTTCCGTTCGTCTTATTTGTAGTGGTGCCTCAAAGACTACGTTAGTAAAACAGCGGAAGATTCAAGACGTATTTAATTGTAACTTGCAAGACTTTTCTGATTGAGACTGAGGATCCGTAAAATTATTGGATATTGTGAGAGTTTTGCAGTGCAGATTTAGACGGATTACAGAAGATTTGGCCTAACTCATTGTATGTTGTCAATTGTCCTCTCATTCTTTGTTTATTGATTTCTCATACTATTAATTTTTTTTACCAAAAAAAAGAAAAAAAATAATCAGCATTATGCTTTTGAAACTTCGTTTGGTTTTCCCTCAAACTAAAAATAGTTTATTCTTGAATTATATCTACTGGAGGTTTTTCAGATATAATGTAAAAAAATAAAACACAGACAAAAGTTAATCAGTACGTGTTATCATGTATTAAGGTTGTCCATGTTTGGCAAATAATCGGAGGATTGAAATCCATCTCACTCACTTGACAACGCGGCACACAGTTGTAAAACATCGCCGTTAGGGCTTCCTTGGGTTCGTTGAAAACAAAAATGTTGCTTAACTACAGCTAACGTGGAATGAATGGAACTTTTTATGAGTTCGTAGTAACAGAGCAATAGCTCTGTTTGCCTGCGTCATGTTTTGACAACTTTTTCAATCAGAACTTTTCGAATTTTGTCAGAGTACTTACTTCGATCTAAGACAAAGGGCGAAAAAACCCTTCGATTCCGACGCAAGTCTCGTTGATTTCTATTTGCCCATAGCAGGGAGAAATGCAAATTCACCCGTTTCCACGCAAATAAAACCTTTACCGTGAGATTTGCCCCGTAGCCACGAAAGGCAAATTGAACGCATTTATGCGGAAGATGCCAGTATACAGTTTGGATTGTAGGATTTCAGTAAGAACCTAGCATCAGAGTTTGGAACCCGGTTCAAGGATATTTTAAGGGCTACTACCATAAACAGTGAATTCGGTAGTGTGAAAAAACATGGCTTATAATTAGCCTTGAGCATGGGGGGGGGGGGGCTCTCATGGAGATAAACTTATTACGCGTCATGCGCTCCAATTGGGAGTCACATCGCATGAAAAAGGTCTATCTATAAAAGAAAAAGGTCTATCTACAAAAGAAAAAGGTCTATCTACAAAAGAATGTGGTCTCGGGTCAACACCTCACAATATTCCTTATAGATCTTCCAGTTTTTAAACGAGCTCCCAGTTTTGACAGCCAAAAGACAATAAGACTATATTTTGCAATTACAATTTTTGGCTCAGTTTAGAGGCAGCGTATGCACCATCAGTTTTTCGAAAGACTTACGTGCGTCACGGATGAACCGGAAATCGTACTTCTTAATTACAAATTGTAGCTCAATAGGTCCCGGTGTCCGTTCTAAAAACTCCTTCAATTCGGCAGGCATTCAATTTGCCCTCCGTTGTGCGCGAATAGTTGCTTCAGTTTAAATGATTCTGTGTATTCAAATAGGCGTTATCATTTGTGTTACATTTGATCGGGATTAAGATTAATTTTTAATACCTTGCTGAAGAGTTAATTCCCGCATTTATCAATGCATTATTAGTTGTTTTTTTCCTTAAAATTTTGAAAACGGAATGAGGTGGTCCTCTAACTAATACCTCGTCCAGCACTCCACTATGAAGCCCTATGATCATTGGACCCTCATTTTGCAATTAGGAATTAAGACTTTTAGGTTTAGAAACAACATACATATGTACCTTTAGTTCCCCTTACCACACAAGTGTTTCCCCTGATGAGCCAGAAATTGTAGCTCCTAATTGCAAAATGTAGTCTAATTAACTCTCAAAAGATTATTTAAAATTCACATACTTGAACGTCTTCATTTTAACTGAATGAATGTCAGAATGAATACGTGCAAGTCAGTAAGTTTTAAATGATCTTTTTTCTTCTTTCTCTTTTTTTGTGCGGCCTCTGTGATGCTTCATTTTGTTTTATTCGTTTATTAGGTCTACCATTAGAATACCCTCTACATTTCAGAGGTCTGTTATATTATATTCTGAGTGTTCATTAATTTTCTTTTTCTCTCTCTTTTTTTCAGTTCAACGGCAATACGTGGGGCCTTCCTCCTTTGTTCTGTGATTTCTACATCGCCATGGATGTTGCGTGTAGTACCTCCTCTATTTTCAATCTTGTTGCCATTAGTATAGACAGGTAAGTCAGTAAAACCATATCATTACCTAATAATATTTCTCGCTTCCTCAATTTTTCGCAGAATAAGACGGAAAGAAGGGAGACTGGTGAAAATCCTACTTGATGTAGTGTGCCAGGTTGTCTCAAAACAATTAAATCATACTACGTGGAAAAAGTGAGATTCAAAATTTGGCTATTTTCTCGATATGGCCGATAAAAGTATTGATTTAAGAGTGAAAAACATGTAATTTCTCGGGTTTTTTATCTCGTTCAGTCCCCTAAGTGAGATTCTAGGGAGCACATATATTCTGTCCGCTGGGGTGACAATTTACCCTCGGGTCGACCCTGCATGGACGACAGTCATGCATTTCCGTGGTAGGCATTTCACCGCACTATTTCGAGCACGTAATGCGCATTAATGTATTCTGACCAACGAAAAGGTGGTTTCCGAAGGATCAACACAATAAAAAAAACTAATGGCCTATAAATCCGCAATTTATCACGAAAATTATTCAGTGTGTCGGCGCGGTACTGAGGAGATATCAAAATCGAGGCCACAAAGCTCGTAAACCACAAATCGTCGGAACAGCAGCTGTGCCCTCCTCGAGAATACACATACGCAGTGATACTTCCTCGCAAAGGAAGAACGCCGTATGTCCCGTCAGACGTTGTCACGTTGCTTATTGTAAAACACAACTTTTTCGGAAAAGTTTAATCATACACTGGAAAAAAGCTTCGGCCGTGGAAGCCGTACTTACGGGCGATGTAGACATAACGTCCGCGTTCCGGGCTCAGCGGCTGGAATTTCCGGGTATAGCACCCGGAGTAATTGAAGCTACGTCTCCTGAGCCCGGAACGGACGGTATGTCCATATAGCCCGTAACTTTTTTTTCAGTGTAGAAGTAACTGAATACTTTTTTCTACCGTATTTCGTACTTTTCATAGTTGAAATTCTTTGCAATCCTTTGCAAGGATTCATTCCCTTTATGCTGCTGAATTTTACTCAAGGCTTGCAAACATTGTTCTTTTTACGATGCTATTTTAAAGGCTACCTTTAATCGTCCTTGGAGTCGACGCTTAATGAAGTTACACATTTTCAGACTTGCGACAGACGATCCGCCTTCTTGATTCTTCCGTTCCTTTTTCACGTAATAATGACGTTAGACGATCTTTTTTCGCAGTCTAGAAGTGCGTAAGCTTTTTTGGCGTGTGCTCTAATAACAATGAAAATCATATGAGGCCTCCTAAGAAAAGGAGCTGTTCGAGGAACGATCATGAAAAAGGCCCTCAGTGCAACAGATGAACGATCTGTCGACTTGCGCTGAGCGGTCGTTGAGTTATGACGTCGGCGGGTTCTTGGTCGATGACGTCACAGACGTGACACCTCGGCGGGACGACAACGCCGCCGGCGCTGGAAGGAGGAGCGGGATCGTAATATATTCTTAAATAGGCGAGCAATATCTAAAATTGGCTTTTTGCGCTGCAGTGGCAGAAAAGGCGGGTTTCGGCCGGGCGGGGAGGAAGGGCGCTGTAGCGTGGCGCGGGGGGCATAATTCCATTGCCGGTATCTCCGATTTTCAATCTATCGCCGGTTAGAATGTCTGCTGCTTTGCATCGATTATCGTCCCGCTCCCCGCTAACCCTCGTCGCCAGATCCGCCCCAAAATCACCACTTTCCTCCTCCTCACTTGAGTCCTTTTGCAGTGTGGGTTAAGACGTATGTGGATTCCATTTATGATTGGCCAGGCTGTCTAAAAGTCCGGAAGTAGTACTGATATTTTAAGAACGGTCCGGAAGTACTGAAAAAGTGTGGAATTCCGCTAGAACGTCCGGAATTGTATCCTTTTGCAGTGAGGGTTATGACATATGGATTACATTTTGCAATAAGGAACCATTATTTCTGGCTCGTTTTAGAAACAACAGATATGCCATTGGTTTCCTTGGACCGAAAGGTGCTTTCATTTAGGAACTAGAGATAGTGGTTCCTTATTACAAAATGTGCACTGGAAAAAAAAAAAAAAACACATTGGATCTAGAGTCCAAGACTCTTGAAAACATTGACAAGAAAAAATACTCTTGATTCAATCGGATTTTTGCTTGAATCAAAACGAAATCCGCTTAAATTAAGAGGCTTAGTTCTTGATTTAACCTACATTCTGATTGAATCAAGAGTAATTTTTCTTGCCGATGTTTTTAAGAGTCTGGACTCTAGATCCAATGTGTTTTTTTCTAGTGTGGACTTTATTTATGATTGGCCAGGCTGTCTACGAGTACGGAAATAGTACTGATTTTTTAAGGGCGGTCCGGAAGTACTAAAAAAGTGTGGGGTTCCGTTAGAAGGTCCGGAATTTCGTTCATTTTTTCTTCATTTTTGTCGCAATTTGAGCGGGAAGTTCAAATTTTTCAAATTTCGTCAATCGGAGGTACTGCAAAAGTACTGAATTTTTCTGTTGAGGAGTATTGAATTTCTGGGGAATATACTGAAGAAGTACTGTAGAAGCACTGATTTTTAAAAAGCCAATCTGTTTTCGTGGACACCCTGTTGGCTCTTGCACTCTGTTTCCAAACCACCAATAACTAAAGGTATAGTTTTAAAGAAAAAAAAAACTGTGATACTTACATGAGTTGTAATAACAGCAACATTTCATTCATGTCCAAAGTGTGAAACCACGTGTCTTCTTTGCGACGATGCAGACTTCCTGTCATTGTTATTGTTTCTTCGGAAATTAAGTCATCGTAATTTTTGAAAACTTCCCTAATCTCTCTACTCTATTTTGAATATTCTGTACAATTTCAAGTCATGAATTTGGCTTTTTTCTCTTCCGAAAAATAATATAGGAACGGAAATTTTGAAAAACCGCAATGGAGTTTCTTGGTTTCGCACTTTGGCCATCGGTATATGAGACCAGACCCGTAAAAAGGGACCTTATTTCTCGGGAGGGACTTCTTGATTCATAGTTACCAATTTATTTATTCACTCTATTTACATGTTATTTTTTCGTCCGATATCAATCCGATTTTTGACGGTATTTTGGCATACGTAATATTTTTTTCCTGGTATAGTAAGGGAAATAAGGACATTTTTGTCACTTTTTCATTTCCACTAAATTCCGGAGTGGGAGGGCAAAAGTTCTTCAGAGGCCTCGCTAACTGCTCATGGGAACATCACTTCAGAAAATCTCCCAACACTGACTTAAACTATTCCTGAAGCAGGCTCAGTTGCTCCACCCTTCTCAATAAAGCCTCTGGAATTTGTGCATTTTAAGTCAATATTTTTGTTTCCCCTTCTAACGAAAGTGCAGGTAAAGTCCAAAAAATTTCACACAAATTTTGACCGAAAAAGTCAAATATTTTGTTGGCGAATTCAGGAAATTTTGACATTTTTTCAAGAAAAATTTGCCACCCTGATCCTGACTCCTACCCATGTGATTCGATTAAAAATATTGACTTTTTATCAGACGATCTGACAACCATGCTGGTATCCCCCCCCCCTCTTCTGCCGGGCGCATCCGAGCGTACACGTCCAACCTGCGGTAATTATTGTGCTCTTGCACGGCTTGAAGGAGCTTGGTGCGCTGATGCCAAATGAGATAAAAAAAAGGTTAAATCGCCATCTTTTGTTAATTTTACAGACATTTTTTTATTTTACCGGAATTTTATCAAAGCAAACGGGAAAATTCCTCGGTGAAAGCGAGAATTGAGAGTCGGTAAAATAACCGAAAACGCTGTGTTAATAAAAAGCGGTAAAATCATCGGAAGTATCCTGCAATGCGTAACTTAGAAATTCGGGAATATTGGTCTTGCATGCCACGGGGATTTACGCTTTAAATAATTCGTCCTTTGTAAAATTTTGCAAGGAACAATATGGTGCCATTGGTTTTCTCTGAAAAAGATTTTCAAGCGCAAAAATATCTCTCAAAATCGAAGCCGCACCGGGGAGTGGATCCTTTGTGACCATGCTCTCACCAAACTTACCATGCGCAGAAGAGAAAGAGAAAGAAAAGAAAAGAAATCCTCTCTAGTTAAAACGAGTTGTATTCCAGATTTATTTCAGAGTTTCTGATTCCACTATTTTGCCTCATTGCAATTGAAAATTGAATTTGGACTCGTTTTTTTTTTTTTTTGAAGCTGCAGCGCTGAAGATAAATATTGCGCTGCAGCATTTAAAATCTGAGGAAGACTCGATGGAATTGACGGGTAAAGATATCAGAGCCTGATATCTTAGATATCAGATATCGTGCTTTGTGATAAATTGATTGATCTGCCATCTAAACCTATGGAAAAGGATCGATTATCGATTGTAGACATAAATCGATTTTTTACCATAGCTTCAAATGGGACTAAATTGATATTGGATGATTCATGCTTCGCTACTGGAATACATCGTCGTTTATGGCGTAAGGACGTATCTTGATTTCCGTATAAGCCCCAGAAAGCATGGATTTATACGTAAAACAGGGCTCACGTGGAAATTGAGATACGCCTCTACGTCTGAAGAGCGACGATATGGGTTACAGCTTTCCTTTTCAACTTTTTCTGAAGGATTTCATTTGAGCAATCGTGCGAATTTGTACTAGAAAAAATCGCGAAACTCGCGAAAGTACTTTTCACGAGCTCAACAGCTCAGCTGAAGTTAGTCAGAAAGTCTTTCAAGTTTAATTAGAACTTATGAATGCTTCAACAAAATAAAAATATCGAAAACATACATTTACTGGCTATTTAGTCCCTTTTAATGGCAAGACCTGAGAAATGTATTTTTGAGACAAATTGCATGCCAAGCCCTTAATAGCTGGCAAGAAGAGATATCGCGCCTTCATTTCGTGCAAATGCAACGCGGCCATCCGCATTGGAGGCATAGAGTTGCGTCCTGACTTCGGCGCTAATATTGTGTTTTTGTTCTCGGTTCTTGGACGTCGTTGAGCTTAAGATCCTAACTGTAAATGCCTTGCCTGTATATTTCTGTGATGTAAAATGAAATGAAATGCGGTATTTTGCTTTTTTTCTTTTTTGAATGGGCGAAG